TACCAAATTCTTAGACAAATTATCTCTCAGATCTGTTAGTAAAATAATGATGGTACCCAACATAACTACCGTGTCATTGTTGCAGGTAACACATACCCACCTACGATCAGACTTGCTGAGTCTGCTATAGGCTGCTGCTGTTAGATCTGTACATGCTTCATGGAATCAACTTTTGCAGTTGTCACATTGCATGCCAGATGTAACATCGAAACGGCAACCAGGTCTTCTGCATGAATTTTTCATGGCTAAGGATTTAGACTGTCATAGAAATACAAGCAGTAAATTTAGAACACAGGCAAAAATTTATAAAAACATTTAACGCTAAGCTAAAGCTAGTCTTCACGCGAAAACTATAAAAAAACCGATAGTGAGCTGAGGCAAAACCACAGTTAACTATTAAGTTGAGTGAAACACAAAAAAGAAGTAATCTACCGAACGTATAGCTCAGAATAGATTCTTTAGATTCTTTAGGTCGGAAATGGTATTTTTGTTGCGTAAGAACACAGCAAAAGTTTGATAAATGTGAATCACGTTAGGACTAAACTTCCCGTTCGAAAAAAAACAGGTCACTACATTTTTCACGAACAAGGATTAAAGATCAGGCGACCAGTGTGAATTTCTGCCAGTTCAAACATTGTGAGAATTTGATTACTCTTCAACTGGATCTTTGGAAGATACTGATACTTCCTCTTTAAATGGACAATTCTAGCCGATCGTCGCTCGATAGACGAAACGAAATTCTGGACATTAATGATTCGATTCGGCCTTTGGAACCTCTGAAGAGAACTCGTGCGATCAGTTTTTTGTGATGTTAGATAAAACACAACATCAAAGTCATCGTTCAGTAAATAGTAATTTAGTGTGGCGGAGAATAAATAGCTGAAATAAACAGTTTTCCAAGCCATCCCTATTAATGCCGATCTCATTTATCTTTCTTGATTACTTTCCCCCTATTAACAGCCACATTTAGCCAATTATTGTACAAATGTTATTTCCTATTTTATGGTACGATGTGGCCTGTTTGATTGGTATATAAACCCAGTATGTTTATGAATAAGGATTCATATAGCAGAGGCTGTTATTGGTGTTCTGGACTTAACTGGATGGGCTAGTCAGAAAGCCGGACCGAGTAGTACTCAAGACGGCTCATACGGCTTTTGTGTATCATTGGGCAATCAATAAATCCACTGATCTCCAATTGTGCGTTCATATATTGAATTGGGCATATACGCACTCAATCGATATAACAACTGGGCAAGCTCACTCACACGTTATAACATATATATGTCCACAAAATAAGCTTAAATGATCCTAACATCATAAAAGAAGGGAGGGTGGAGTTACTGGCCAGCAAACATTAATGGTGAGGGCGATGACTTCAATCCACCCGTGTTTGTGGGGCAGAACATTTTGTTTGTATCAGGCACTTTATGGATGAGAACAAGTCAATCAATCTGTGATATTGAAGTTGTTCTCCCACACTCACCACTCAGACTCATGTTTCTAATTTTTATGTTATATAAACTATTCTACTAAGACAGCCTATAACATGCTAACTCGGACTTTTACAAGAAAACTGTGTGACAGGCATAGGATGATGGAAAAACAGACTGTAAAGGATATGGTTGTTATTTTACTTAACACTCTACTCCCTAAATGCACTGTCTGTTCCAATAAACAGTCTTCCTCATTCCAATCTTGACTTCCCTTCCTTCATTCAAACCTACTCCACCTTGATCGGATCTGGTATGTAACGTGGACGCGATGCCCCTTTGGATAATATTTTGAAGAAAACACAGTAAATCTGAACGAATGAACTGCTATCAACTTTTATGCATTATATTTACTAAACAACCCTGCTTGGGATGGGTACTGTGAACCAGTATACGTTGTAACTTGTAGATCATGTCTGTAAAATGGCGTGTACCTGACCTTGCAGAAATATGTTATTATAAATATTCTGAACATATATTTTTGACCAAGTAAGGAAGTCACCTGCGAATGATCTATCAAGTCAGGAAGTCTTTGACATCGACGATTCTACGAATTATCATGGTTCTAACATCGTTATTAACTGTAGGTTCTGCAATCTTTATAATCAAGAACCTCAAATGAAGTCATTGCGTTGATTGTGCAGTGACGTTGATCGTTGCAGTGACCTATTTGGATTACTACACTTCTGCAAGAGTTTACTTCTCGTGACCACTGGTCTTTCCGCTCACCCGGTAGGTCTAAATCTTTTTGTAATCCTGGATTATCAGCCACACTTTGTACGGTGATTCAGGCCTTAGTGTTGCTGAATATTCCTCCAACTCTGCTAATGATTCCTAAACTGGTCTTAGCCTATGACCCAAGAAAAATGCTTTGTCAAATACTTTACTGGGATCCCTATCAGTTATACCTACTGAAACACTATTTGGTGGTAAGTAAGCCCTCAAAATAAATAGTTCTGTATGTCTTTGAACTCAATGTTGACCATTTTAGCTTTACTGAAGGCGCTCAGTCACACATCCGCATCAGATCACGAGTGGGTACGCCCTGCTACTCATACCTTGCAACTACCACCTCGCTTGAACGAAACGTTCATCAGCATATAAATAACCTTCCAAAAATATCCCTGATTTCTTATCTCTCTTGGTTGATATCCCTCGAGTTTATAGGTGTTACGGACAAAAGCGTTGTCAGACCCCGAATATCGGCGGCATCTTCAGTGGTCAGCCCCAAGTGATCTGGTACACCGAACGACTAACTATGAGTCTATCACTCGTCATAACATTGTTTTCTATCTTTGCACATCGTGACTTGTATTTGGTTTTCTCCAATATTACTTCGCTCATTTATAGACTTCGCCTTGATTACGACGAGTGAGACACCGAAACTGTTTGAAATTAAGACGCTTTTAGCTCCTACATTTCAATTCATGTTATTCTGACCCTAGAGTATCAATGCCAGATTCGGCCATGTAGAAACTGACATCGACGAACACGGCGTGATGGATACGCGTTCACAATTCCCCACAGTAGTAAGGGCACTACCATGCCAACTTAAGTCGTACTTCACACCTAGTAAGTTTACCACTGGTATTTCTAAACCTTTCGACAATTAAAAGAAGACTATCCTTAAGCATTGGTTTTGGTAGGTATTCTAGAAATCGAAAAAATCTTGCAGATGGGTTGATCCAACACATTCGCATTTTAATAGAGGATTTCAGGAGACCATGTCTTATAAATAACTTAGTTTAAATACTCCCGATGGAAAGAACGAGGGGTTTCGAGTAAACGAAGTCGCCTTCAAGTATGGGTAAACGGTGAATATTTGTAAAATAGTTAAAGTTGACATTACCTGAAAGTATCCTGGAGATCATCGCAAAACCATTCTTACAGCCCTACATGACCGGATCAAAGTAAATCTTCTGCAATAACATATAACTATTGAGTAATAAAGCAAGGAATGGTACTCAAAAATACTTTTGAGACTTAATACAAGAAACGATGATAAATAAATTAATACATTTGTAATTGGTAATGATAACAACAAAGAAATGATGATATTGTATTTCGACAGATCGCCGCAGACAGCAGAAGATATATTTATCTTAACGTGAGTTTATGTAAACACAATCACTGAATTTTCATCGTGGCAGATGTTTCAATGCTAACCGTTGATATGAACCTGCTAAAACACCGTAGCTTGAGAGGCTCAGGCGTTCCCTCAAAACATGACCCGGTCAAAGTTTATAAACGGATCACTATGGCCTGAGATGGCATTCCTAAAGCTGCTATCGTCATTAATTTAGGTCACCACGAATTTAACTAATGCGTTTCGGTTTAAGAAACGCTGAACCAACGTTTCACAGATTCATCGATGATGTATCCAGTGGTCTAAACTCTGTGCATGTATATGTAGATGACTGCTTGATTCCAAGTACTCCTAAATAATATCCGCTTCAGAATATGGGACTTATTTTAGAATGACTGCAAAAACACAACATCACTGAAAACATTCAGAAATATTAGATCGGAAAAATCTACCGAACCCTTTTTCGGACACTACTGACGCTCGGGGTATTCACCCTCTAGAAAGCAAAGTTTCAGCCATTCTGAATTACCCAGAGATGGTCACAGCCATGATAAGTGTACTAATACCAACATGACCGGATCAAAGTAGATCATCTGCAATAACATATAACTATAATAGCACTCAAAAATCCTTTTGGGATTTAATACAAGAAATGATGATGTTGTGTTTCGACGTAAAAAGCTTTGTTTTGTAACTTAACGGCTTGTTTAGTTTCCTCATGTGTCTTGAAGATCGAATGGTGCAAAAAATGGACGATCCTCTTAGTATTAGTTTCCAACACCTTGAAAAAATAACACATAGGACTTGGATTTTCCCTCAAAAATATTATTAGATTGCTTTGAAGATTATTATGGGTTTCGTGGTGACGTTGGTTCTCATCATGAATCGTACGCCTGAATAATCAAAAACAGATAAGCTTCAACGCCTTATTGTCCTACGATTAGGGGAGCTTTAGACATCAAGGCCATACAACGTCGAAGTCAGGAAATCTCAAACTTATGGTAGGAACATTATATTTAAATACAATTCATACTTTCTGAGTCCCTCCAATTTTGTCAGTGCTAATGTTTGGTAGTATAGTAAATAATACATTGATATGATTACGGTAAACTCATCCCAATGAATACTTCGGATATCTTAATTACTATTCATTTTGGTGGTTTATAGAGTGACTGGTTTGAAGGTAGATTTGGATAGTGTTGGGTATCGCATAGTTCTATTCGTATATATTTAAACTTTAAAGTATCCCTCGCTCATATGTTGTGAGATGATGCTTGCTTAACGCAGGATACGCTGTTGAAATTAGTACAAACGACACATCATATTAAAGGAATCTGAAAATTGCTTAATGGTTCTGTCATGCGATAGCTGCTACCTAAATCCACTGATGTTTTTTCTTTTTGGTTTAAGTCCTTGGTAGGTAGCGTTTCTGTTTTCACAACTGTAAGGATGTCACGTCAACCTACATTGGGGTAGACATCTCTCTGATGGTTTACCAACTACTTCTCTAGTTGTTCCTGAAACATACTCCTAACTTTTTCATCGTAAGGCTGAATTCTGACAGGTCTTATGCTTGTTCTAATATGACACAAACAAATGTGTCCTCGCATTAAAGCATGTCCAGTGAAGACTGAGTGTATATATTGACAAAATCATCGGAATCAAATTGATTATTTCGCCTAAATCATTTTCCAAGTGCAAGTGTGGATACTCCGAGAGAGGTTTTACATCATTCTGATGTTCCATTAAAACCTGTTGTCCAGAAGTTTATTTTTCGTACATTCATATCCAGCTTCTAGTGAAATGTGTCCTGGGCAACATGAAAATATGGTAAAGACAAAAACAGATGACCCAGTTGTCTCTAAATTGCTTAATGGTTCTGTCATGCGACCTGTCGCTGTGCTGCCTGGATTAAGCGAATATTCAACTTCAGATTCTGACCAGTCAACAGATTCCGATGATGACGAATCAACTGATGTTGAAGATGCTGTTTGTACATTACAGCAAATAGCCTGTACAAGAATACGATATGCTAAAGCTGATGGTGCCGTGGATAATGACTAAAATTTGTCCAAGTAATGTTTTCTGATGTACAGTATAACGCGAAATTTGTGACTAAATTGTATATTTCCCTCTTTAAATTTCCTTCATTGTTTCAGTCGTAATAACCCCTTATCTTTGTCGTCTATTTTTCTGTCGGGTGATCAATACTGACAATCTGTTCAAATATGTTAACGTTAAGGTGGCATACTTAAGTACAGATCCCTAGACCCAACTTAGTAAGATACTTTTGATGTAAGCGTTAGTAATTCTACTGGATTTTCGTGGGAAAATATACCAATTCCCTTTAAACTTGGAACCAAATAAAAGAAAGTAGGTTGCTTCAACCATCTCTCATATGTTAATAACCAGTACATGGCAATAATTTTGTGTATTTACTTGTTATTGATAACTTGAGCACTTGGTTTTCAGACATATAATGAACGTTAACAAATAGAATACATGATAATAACTTTAAATATTTTTAGGATTTAATTTGTCCTGCAGGTGTTCTATCGGAACTGTGAACGCGATACTGACGACTCCGAGTCTATGTGAAAGCTGTAGTCAAAACAAGGACAACTTGACTTTAAACTCTATATGTTTCGAATAGTGTTGCGTGTCTCGTCGAAGTGAATCAAAAAATTATTTGTAGTCACACTAGTATGATAGGATAATATTGTCCTTCAATTGGCAGGTCACATGCAACAGGGATAGTCTACAGACACATCAGGTCAGGTCGACACGGCGGGTGTTTAAGCAGAGATTTGGCTGGCTATTTATTGACATAACTAAAAATTTTAATTAGTGTATCTAAGCTAGACTGGAAGCCTATAGGAGTATCGTTTTCTTTGAACAATTAGTAAGACTGTTTATAATAAATGGTGTATTTATTTCTTTCAGGAGGGTGAAATTTAACGCACGTCCCTTTGGTGTTAACAGTTTTCCGTCTTTAAGCGCTTCTTCAATATGTTTCAGCTCAAACTCCACTAAAATAACCGTAAAGTCACGCCAAAAATCTGAACCACCCCTGTCGAAATGTAGATTTCAAAAGTCGAATTGTAGTAAGGTAGGTACCACCTGGCTTTCAGTTTAGGGTGTAGTCAGATTCTTTCTCCTTGAATGGGCGAATTGAAGATGTCACATGGATTAAAATAACAGTTATGTCGTAAATTCTGCAAACAGTATTTAAATTATTTACTGGCTTTTTGATACATTTAGGTTACGACCTAATGGTTTCCTGACATTGAATTATGCTCAGTCAAAATTGCATAAAGTCAAGGCTTTAGAATTCACCTACATTTTCCATCTAAGGATATAGACATGGTTAAGATAAGATGATCCATCACAAAGTTTCCATTAAATATTATGGGAAAATAGTTGTGTCTCGCTAACGCCATCATTCCCACTGTATCACTTGACTAAGGACTTGTACAAATAGTATGAGGAAGTAAAGGTTAAGATATTCAGGACTTTACTGAGTAACATAGGTATGATGATAGTGAAGAAGCAGTCATGTAATGTTTGAAAGAGAAATCTGAGTAAATCATGATTTTACACCAGTTCCTGCTAGCTATTCGTAATCATCGCAACATTCTTTAGAAAAATGCAAGGGTTCCCAGTGAATCTTATCCAATGCTTTTCACACACAAATAATAGCAAAACTCAAAGTCCGAATCTTCCACACAAATTTCGAGACAGTTTTATTGTATGGAGATGAAACTTGGGGAACGCTGAAGGTGGATATGACATTGTAGTGGCCAATTTCCTTTATATACTATTCCAATAAATAGTTTTCCGTTAACTAAGGATTTACACGGGCTAAATATTCTGGCAGTATTATGAATTCACTCGGTATTATTCAGAAGCCCGAACACCAGTTGTGGAGATAATTTATTGTTATTAGTAAAAATGTGCAGACACATAGAGAAACAAGTGACTGTGTGTGTGTGTTGAAAATCGATACATATTTATGAATGCTGATCGGTCGTGGATAAACTATTGATTGTCTGTATTTACGACCAAGGGAGGATACTTAAAGTCTGATATGCAGACAGGCACTCAATCAGACTTACGCACACGTTTACAGAATGAATTAAATGTCTAAATTACAGCGAATAGACAAATAATACAACAAATGAATGGACTTACTACAACATACATTGCTGAAATCACTATACGCCAACACCCCTGACTGTGAGAAGGCGTTCCGCAATGTGGATGCGAAGATCTTATGGAACCTTCTTCAACACTGTGGTGTACTTGAGAAGATCGTCAACATCATCCGGAATTCTCACGACGGACTACACAGCAAAGTGGCGCATGGAAAACAACTGACAGATGCATTCAAAGTGAAGATCGAAGTCAGACAAGGCCGCTCACCTTCGCTTTTTCTTTTCCTTCTGATGGTGAAGACAGGTGAAGTCACCCAATGTAGCAGCAGCCTTTGCAGAGTAGATCACAACATTCACAAAGGGGAAAAGCAAGATCCCTAAATACAACACAGCAAGCACCAACCCAACGACACTAGATAGAGAAACTCTGGAAGAGGTGGGAACTTCCACAAATGTGGGAAGCATCTAAACAACTGTCAGCAAACGTCGAAGTCGGAACCTTTAATGCAAATGTCATGTATGGAGCTGAAGTTTGGAGAACTTCTAAAGTCATCATCAAAACCAATTGTCTGCACAAGATGCTCAATGTCCGTTGGCCATATACCATCAGCAACAAATTAATGTGGTCGTAGACATACCAACGTCCAGCTGGAGGATAAATTGGGAAAGGACACTGAAGGCAGACAAGACAAATGTTGCAGAAATCACCAAACTGCACCACGAAGCGAGCCCTAAATTGGAGTCGTGAAGAGAAGAAGAAAACAGTAAGATCAAATAACACATTGCGTTGGAAATTGGAGGCAGGCATCAAGGGAATGAATGGCAACTGGAAAAAGCTGCCCAGGACGGAGTTGGTTGGGGAGTGCCGATGGGCGGCCTATGATTCTACACGAGGGGTAGCAGGTGTAAGGAAGTTTTTACCGTTGACCGAATTCAGTTTATCTAGATATTTTGTGTATATTTTGCCTGTTTTGGATACATCAATGTCGTTGGAATTTCAATGCATTCTTATGCTAAAGTCCAGTTAGTTTTCACGCATCTAGAATTGTTACACTCAATTATACTCTTAATTTTATAGAGTTGAGATCATGAGTCAATTGAAGCTAGACTACCATGGAAAACCTGGAAGCACTGGACGGCCGTTTCGTCCTATTATGGGACTCCTCAGCAGTGCGCGTCCACGAACCCACTCTCGCGGGATTCGAACTGCTGAAGAGTCCCATAATAGGACGAAACGGCCGTCCAGTACTTCCAGGTTTTCCATGGTAGTCTAGCTTCAATTGACTCATGATCTCAACTCTATAAAATACTAAAATCTCCACAAAACCCCTTCTGATTATACTCTTAATTGTCTAATGTCATACCAGCGTATTATTCCGTTCCTAGAAGAATGTATTAACACTAGTGTAAACTAGGTTCCCTTATTCACTAGAAATTCGACTTCTCCGAACACAACTACTGTAAGTGTTCATACCCTTTTCTCACATAAAAAGATCACTACCGAAATCACCGTCCGAACTATGATCACTAGTTCTAGACTAGTAATTTTAAAATAAGAACAGTACTAAAAGGAAGTATCTGTGGATATAATTGGATTCAGTCATTTGAACGCAACGTATTCTTTTCTGACAACCTTGTTAGCTTATAGAAATGATGGCTTTACTTTAACAGAGACTCTTTCTTCGAGAAAGTGGAGATGTGCTCCGTTTATGGAGTGGTGTCTTGATATGAAAGCTGGCATCTATCGACGTCCTCTAGATAATACTTGAGAAAGTTGAATACTTCTGGTTACTCTCAGCTGTTGAAACACTTGTCTAACAAGAACATAACAGAATTACCAACTGACGATAGTAAAAGCTACACGACGAATTGTAATTTATCCATACTTTATTCTAGTAATCCTCAATCTTCGAAATATCGGTAGTGATGACTAGATAAATTATTCAGTCACTTAGGTCTTTGTTTTCAGATTCCTTTAATATGATGTGTCGTTTGTACTAATTTCAACAGCGTATCCTGCGTTAAGCAAGCATCATCTCACAACATATGAGCGAGGGATACTTTAAAGTTTAAATATATACGAATAGAACTATGCGATACCCAACACTATCCAAATCTACCTTCAAACCAGTCACTCTATAAACCACCAAAATGAATAGTAATTAAGATATCCGAAGTATTCATTGGGATGAGTTTACCGTAATCATATCAATGTATTATTTACTATACTACCAAACATTAGCACTGACAAAATTGGAGGGACTCAGAAAGTATGAATTGTATTTAAATATAATGTTCCTACCATAAGTTTGAGATTTCCTGACTTCGACGTTGTATGGCCTTGATGTCTAAAGCTCCCCTAATCGTAGGACAATAAGGCGTTGAAGCTTATCTGTTTTTGATTATTCAGGCGTACGATTCATGATGAGAACCAACGTCACCACGAAACCCATAATAATCTTCAAAGCAATCTAATAATATTTTTGAGGGAAAATCCAAGTCCTATGTGTTATTTTTTCAAGGTGTTGGAAACTAATACTAAGAGGATCGTCCATTTTTTGCACCATTCGATCTTCAAGACACATGAGGAAACTAAACAAGCCGTTAAGTTACAAAACAAAGCTTTTTACGTCGAAACACAACATCATCATTTCTTGTATTAAATCCCAAAAGGATTTTTGAGTGCTATTATAGTTATATGTTATTGCAGATGATCTACTTTGATCCGGTCATGTTGGTATTAGTACACTTATCATGGCTGTGACCATCTCTGGGTAATTCAGAATGGCTGAAACTTTGCTTTCTAGAGGGTGAATACCCCGAGCGTCAGTAGTGTCCGAAAAAGGGTTCGGTAGATTTTTCCGATCTAATATTTCTGAATGTTTTCAGTGATGTTGTGTTTTTGCAGTCATTCTAAAATAAGTCCCATATTCTGAAGCGGATATTATTTAGGAGTACTTGGAATCAAGCAGTCATCTACATATACATGCACAGAGTTTAGACCACTGGATACATCATCGATGAATCTGTGAAACGTTGGTTCAGCGTTTCTTAAACCGAAACGCATTAGTTAAATTCGTGGTGACCTAAATTAATGACGATAGCAGCTTTAGGAATGCCATCTCAGGCCATAGTGATCCGTTTATAAACTTTGACCGGGTCATGTTTTGAGGGAACGCCTGAGCCTCTCAAGCTACGGTGTTTTAGCAGGTTCATATCAACGGTTAACATTGAAACATCTGCCACGATGAAAATTCAGTGATTGTGTTTACATAAACTCACGTTAAGATAAATATATCTTCTGCTGTCTGCGGCGATCTGTCGAAATACAATATCATCATTTCTTTGTTGTTATCATTACCAATTACAAATGTATTAATTTATTTATCATCGTTTCTTGTATTAAGTCTCAAAAGTATTTTTGAGTACCATTCCTTGCTTTATTACTCAATAGTTATATGTTATTGCAGAAGATTTACTTTGATCCGGTCATGTAGGGCTGTAAGAATGGTTTTGCGATGATCTCCAGGATACTTTCAGGTAATGTCAACTTTAACTATTTTACAAATATTCACCGTTTACCCATACTTGAAGGCGACTTCGTTTACTCGAAACCCCTCGTTCTTTCCATCGGGAGTATTTAAACTAAGTTATTTATAAGACATGGTCTCCTGAAATCCTCTATTAAAATGCGAATGTGTTGAATCAACCCATCACGTCCAGCTTGTATTAGATGACAATCCGGGACTCCATAACACGTATCTGGAAAATACGTGAGAGTGTTTATAATGATCCCTTCGGAGATTTGAGGAGCGCTTTCAATTCTATTCCGTTTAAATTCAGAATACCTAAACAATTCTACAAAAACAACAGAATATTGATCCAAGTGTGTTTATGTTTACAGATTCTGCGGAATCCGAATGTAATAAATCCAATTCCATGTAAGATTGAAGGTGCAGACTGTCGAGTATCAAACAAGGACGTAATAGGTATACCAGGCTCGATTATCTTGAGATAGTATCAGGAAAAAAGCTTACTCATTTTCGGGTAGTCTAGGCCTAATATATCAAGCAATCAGGATGTTTTGTAGACCATATATATAAATAACTTCTTCCATTTCATCGCGGTAGAATAGGATATATAACTAAGGGTACTGAAATGCGTAAAACCCCATAGTAGCGAATTAGAAGACGAAAGAGTTAGAGGTAATTATTGTGCAGGTATCAAGAATTTGCATAAAAACATGCGCATTTGTCGTTATCAGTTTCGGCCACAACATCATTATAACTTAGACAATTCTCAAAGAGGCTGGTTATGCTCTCGTCCCATCGTAGCACGCCAAGTTGATATTCTAGAAGGCTCTACCAGGCTCTGACTGGATGGAATTTCTTCCTCCACTTTGGAGATTCTGGAAGCCTCGTCGTGTTCTTTTAAGCCGTCGCTAGCGTACGACCTTAACTAATGAAATGAATCAATGAACTGTGGGAAATTAATTTTTTAGTTCAAACTACTAATTGACACAAATATGTGAATAAAATGCCTTTA